ACAGTGGAAGTTGAGATGGACGGTCAATATGGGTGCGCCTACTTGCCCCTATCTCTTGAAGAAGAGACTGAGCCACAATCCGCTCTGCACACAAGGGACAAACGCTACAGACCACTTAGCAACGACCTCAGAAGGGATGGCTAAACATAGAAGACACACCGATAGATCATTACTACTACTCATTCCAGGAGGAAACTTGAGGTATACAAGGATGCATCATCTCAGAGGGCGAGAGAGCTGTTCATCCCATATTCACTACAAGGACAGTCACCCGCCGGATCCACTCCTCTCACCTGAGTGTTGGAGGCATGCCTCAGGCGGTGCGAGTGAGAATGTGGTCTACTGAGCCGCGGCGAATGACGATGAACAGATAAAAACGTTCATGAATGCTTGACATTTGCAGATCAGCTCTGACACGAACACACAAAAAGAGACACTACATCCACATGACCCGGTACCAGGCGCCCATGGGCCCCGCGTTCCCCCGGCTAGACCTCTCTCGCGCTCTCTCTCTCCTACTCCCCCATTACAGGGACTACTAGTTCAACTTTTGGGAGTTGACTACCTCCCTCGCTCGTCAGTACTGTAATTAGAAGGCTGATAAGCTCACTATTTCCCATCAGGGGATTCCGCTTATTTCTTTTTCGGACAATGGGCCACAGTATTCGCCCAAAGAGTTCCAGCGTTTCCAGTCGGCTGGTGGGGAGTTCAGCACAATAAACGTCAGTCTCATGGATACCACTGAGAGCAACGCGAAGCGCCGAGTCGCTGGAAAACTGCAAAACGACTGGATGCTAATGCGGCGCGACAGGACCCGTACCTGGCTATGGTTGATCACCGTAACACCACCTACTCAAGGACCTGACTACAAGCCTGGCCTCAGGGATCTGCTTAGCAGGAGCGACAGAACTTCTACTACTCTGCTCGGGACAGTCTCCTACAACCCGATGCGCTGAACAGACAACCAAAAGGATCGGATTGACAGGCAGGAGAAGCAAGCCACATACTACAACAGGACAGCTAAGCGCACCATGGACATGCTCAACAGGGCCGGGTTAGAGTTCAGCCTTACGAACCACACACGATCTGGAGCGACGGGCTCCTGTGGTATCCCTGTGACCACAGGTCCTACACGGCTGCATGCAGCTGGAGAATGGAGCGTGCTGTCTTAGGAGAATTCGACATCACCCTGAGACGGGACCAGGGCACAGTACAAGTGTGACAGCCCTGTACGCGTGACTGTTGACACTCACACGACTCCAGAAACTGTTACAACCCGCTGACAGAGCCATGTGTGAAACAACAGACTGATGACTACCAGAGTCTGGCCGAACCAGTTTTAGGCCCACAGTAACTTGCAGGACTATGCACACTGACATGGCGCGCTCAGCTTATGTGATGTGACTCAAGGACTTTGCGGGCGGGATTTAAAGAAAAAATGTTGGAGGTGAAACTCTCGCTATTCTTGAAATTTGATATTTAAGAAAAAACAATTAAAAAAGTGATTTTGTTATGGAGGAACGCCGACATTGACTTAAGCTTGTAAATAAATAATAGTGTTCGTCCTCCATATTGACTTCTGTCAGTGCTTCGGAACAAAAAAGAGAAACACATGCTGACGATCAAACCAAGATGCTGGAATGCTGTTCGCGCAGGATGTATGTTGTATCTGGACGACCTGCTAATTTGCTGGCCTCGCTCCAGGGAGGAAGTCGCTTTACAGCCGTTACATCTCGTATGCATCTGTCACCAAGCCTGGGGTTTTCATATATGAATTTGCAACAAAGAAGCTTTTCCTCTTCCCTCTTAGACATCCTATTTATGTTGGGTAGGGAATTAAATCAGCCAGCAGAACGGCGGCTCTCGTGCGTGAGTGGAGGAACTGACAGCTCCCTCTCCGGCGTGTCACATCCCGCAGTGCCTTCTCCGTGACACAGCCCTGCCCTCAGCATGGGCGTCAGCTGGGTCACGTGGGGATCCCCCTGCGGACTCTCCCACAGGAGGAGTTCTCCGGTGGTTCATTCGCCGCGTGCATTCGATCCCCGGTGCGGTCAGAGGGTAAATCGTGCTGGACCCTGTCTGCCGGGTTGCGAAGTATTCCAGCACTTCGCCCTGTTGCTGCGGTACCAATCAGGCGATGTAAGTTGATTTCTGAGGGAAGCAGAAGTTTAGACTATAGTGCTAATCTGGTATATTCATTTTAATGTCACCCTTATATAGAATGCAGTTGCAGGCTGGTGGAAATATTTTTGTGGGGGCTATGGCAATGGCTGGACAAAACCATATAGGGCATTTAAATCAGGAGGACTAACATCCGAATTGGTGTGGTTGTGTGTGTGTGCTGCTCTGTTCCAACTTGGGCCAACCTACCGATTTTCGCGGGAGACCTCCCGATTTCTCACTGATTTCTGACAAAATCAGATTTATGCACCACTGCTTTCCACCTCGGACTTTTCAATACAGGCCTTGACACCATTGTTGCGGTTTCCCATGGCAGACCGGATTGGGAGGGAGAGGAAGTTCCAGAAGCCTTAGCTACACGACGATTAAACTTCTGTTAAAACAAACTCTCCAGGTTAAAGACACCTGCTTAATAAATGCTTGTAGGGAAATGATGAAATACACTAGATTTTCAAAACAATATACAGAATATACCACTACAGTGAGCATTCTGGAGTTAGTTTTTTGGCTAAGAAATGTTAACTTCCTCATAAAAAGCCCTCGGCACTGGTGACTCCCGCGCGTGTGACGTAACACGGGGGACACAGAGGGGGGGGCGGCCGGCTGTCACGTATCTAATAACATGGATCCATAGACTAGATATTCGTTGACACAGAGAGTTGAACATGAGATATCGCCCCTCGAATGCATGATGGACGGACACACCCTATAATTATGAGGCCTGCTAGGCGCTCCAGAGCCCAGCGGCAGCCAAGGGATAGAAGTAATAACGGGCCATCGGGAGAGAAATCGAGCTGTGCTGTGAGGAGAACCAGTGGGAGAATGGGCGCAGCTTCTTGGGTGAGTGACCGGCCGTTAGCTACAGATGTTAGCTACTTCACAATCACAAACGTTGTAAAGCTTAGCTATCATATATCAGGTCTTAGTAACTAAAGTAGCAATTGATATATAGTAACCGTTACTGGCAGACGTAGATCACTGTATCCATAACCAGAACTAATGCGCAGTATTCAGTCCGTATCTCGCGTTACCTATGCAAACCACACTACGTCTTACGGTGCATGTGTACCGGAGGGGACGGGAGAGAGCAGCGAAGGGGGGGAGAGAGCATGTAATACGTTTCCTGATAAACGTTTTGTTTTGGTAGGTGCTTGTGTGGAAATGCAGGGCCATGACCTCAGCTGTGGAGAGCAGTGCTGCAGGGAGGTGCGATCCCTTCTGCGGTCCTGGGAGAACGTCGCCCGCGGCGCGGAGCGCGACAACATGCCGACACTGCACCCAGGCTTTGAAGCATGCTGTCTGAATCCTTTGTTGCTACAGAACTAGCCCTACATGAACTTCAGGCAGGAGCATGGCCCGCTTCGGGCCAGCAGCATGCAGTATGCTTTAGATTACAATTAAACAAGATTAAATACTATTAAATATAATACAGTTGCTATTGACCCCGGGAGTGTTTAGCAGGTTTCAAAACCCAGAACCTTAAGATGATAACAACACTTGTTGATGTATGCTTAACAAGGCTATCAAGGTTTACCTGTAGATATTGCTGTCCCTATCCCCAGGCATACGCTACACAGCTTACAGGCAGGTCATCCGCTGGGCTATGCGGTTTCTAGGCAGGCACATTAGGAAGAGCCTACCCGTCATGCTGCTTGTGTTCTGCATCGAAGACAGTTTCCCAGAAGAAGGAGGAATTTACAAAGGTAGTTGAGTGGCCTCATTTTGGTGACCGATCAATACAAGTTAATTCAACAATCATATGGTGTTCGTTCGCACTATGTGTTCGCTCACATGCATTTCCAAACATGTTGTCATACCTATGCTGTAAATGTGGTCTTTTTTCAATTTTCCACCAAATAAACAGTTGATTGATGTAGATAGTGTCTTTTCATTAATACCACCAAAATACGTTATTTTGAACACTCCTCTCGATCGATTACAAAAAATAATAATAGTATGGGCCGCTCCTAACTACACCAATGCAGTTTTTAAAGATATACCATTTTTCAACACAGAATCATTTAACAAATTACACCATATCCAATGATTTTACGAGTCAGAAAATGCTATCCTGTTCATTGCAGTTATTGTTCTATTGAATTAGATTCCATGACCTCAACATATTATGTAGAGGTACAAGTCCACAGGTCCAAGAACATTTTATTTGCATATCATTTCAATTTATGAATATGGGTAATTATTTATTTTATATATTATTATCGGCAGCTCAACGAGTGATCCCTCCTGTCAGATGGAGGGAGTAATACAGCAGCAAGCTTTGGGGACCTGTCCCCAACATTATCTATGAAGAGAGAAAGAAAATTATGTTATTATATATAATATTGATTTTTGCACATCAAAATCTCTTACCAGGTTTTATCTTAACAAATGTCAATTTAGGAATAATCTTACCCTGAAACCTGTGAACCACAGAATCTGCCTGGTTTCACACTTAATTCCTGTGTTAAACCGGGGAAGTGCCGTGCCAGATAAAAGGCCAACTTGCCTCATCCTTGGCGGATCTCCTGGGCAGGATAACAAACTGCACTTCTAGTATCTCTGTGAAGCTCTCAGAGACTCCATCAGGGCTGCGCGTATGCTGAAGGAAGGGAAACAAAGTGATCACATTCAGTGTATATTATAGATGCACACACAATAAATAATTATTTTTAGGGACCGAGTAAAACAGCTAACCGTATGATTGGCTTCTCCTTGATAGGGCGAACTACCCCAGCCACCTTTGCAGAACCTTGGGGTAGCGAACTGCATAACGCACCTCACCATCCACTGGTCGAGCAACCTCTCTCGCTGCTTATTGTGGTTAAAAGTGCAGGCGCCATGAGAAGCCTGTAGAAAAAGCAATTATGCAGTTCACAAGTTTGTTGTGTACATATGTGCAATAAACTGTTTAACTGATAGCATTAGTCGGTTAAAACTTCGTATTGTTCGTTAACGGGTTAAATGGTTAATTATTAAACATCCCTTAAGCCGTACACTTATTTCACCATCACATCATATTTACCTGCTGTACATCCCAAGGAAGGAGAACCCAGTGTGCTGTGCAAAGTGTGAGGATGAGGGAGTGAAATGACTCCAGGGAATAGGTCTGATGCTGTGGAGACAACCTTCCGACATCCTTCACCATGCTGTTCTCAAAGTCACCCTCTCCAGTTTAATGGCTGCAGTTGTTCCTGTACAAACACATATTTTGTTCTGATGTTACTGAAGTCTCCTATGCTGTCTACTACCTGTAGCACAGATGTGTGGACTTCGTTTTTTGTGTGCACATTTGGATTATGATGAGTGCTTAACCACTAAACTAAGCCACCAACATGCACTTGGACGATCAATGTTCGCAACACATGTACAGGTACGTACCTGCCAGGCCACTCCTTGTCCCTTGCTTCTCCTCCAGAGGTTGGATGTGCACAGCAGGTGCCGTGTTCATGGATGTCCTGAACATTGATTCACCATACTTTGCCCACTTGGCTTTCCATCACTCTGGATCTCCATCAGTTAATGGAAAGCTGCAGTCCAGTACAGGTGATTGATGATGGCTGGCCTCCACAGCTTTCAAGGTCCTCACACCCCTCTCCTTTGCAGCAGAATCCAAAAGCTTTCCTAGACCTGTTTTCACAACAGAAAACAAATGTTAAAAAGAAAATGTAATTATAAACAAAGTTCAGCCTAATCCAAACCTACCAACATCAAGATACATACTTTTACCAATATGCCAGATATCAAAAGAAATGAAGTCGTTCCTCCTGGACCACAACTCTCCCGCACGCCACTGGGCAACCTAAAGAGTGAAACACAACACCCTTAATACTTACTTAACTAGTAAGGAAAATGCATTTTTTGCTGTTAATATGGTGCGCCAAGAATCTTTGTGTGTACATATGGCTGTTCGTTCTTGTGTGTCTTTACCTGGCGATTTCGGTCCGTACTATAAGGGCTGAAACTTGCATGTGTTGCTCCTTAAGGAAGTCAATGCTGCGTTTCAGACCTCTAGTTCCCACCAGGTGCTGCTTGGGACCTCTGAGCTCTGTAAAACAACATTATGCAGTCATATCACTAACCGTGTCACATCAGACGAAGGCACATCTGATACCTAATGATAGTAAAAGTAGAGCCCTTGTTTATTTGTTCATCAAGGAGTATTTGACGTCCAGGAGACGTTTAAGGCCCAAAAAACAATGCAATGCAGTTATTGTAAGTTGCTTTGGATAAAGCTAAATGAATGTAATTTAAATATTGTTTTGACCTCTTTTTGATATCAATAATACAAGGCTTGAAGTTGTTCTACCTGCAGTCACCAGAGAGGATTAGCCCACCCCCCACTCCTTCAGTTCTCGGATGATCCCAGCCTGCCTCAGTTTGCCAGGCCTGACGATAGTAGGGATTGTGTACAGGCCGTGATGGCGGAAGAAGGTGCCGACACTGATGCACTGAAGCCCTAACGTTTCAACATCCGTATTGTCTGGTAGCCATGCAACCTGAAAAGTGGATGGCCCCACTCAGTAACAGGTTGCAGGCTGGCATGTTTCTGTACAGCATTGGCTGGTTCTGCCAAAAACGCTCATACCACATGCTGCACATACCTAAGAGATGTGAAAAAGCAGAACATTGCCAGTACAACTCTTAGTCAGTCAAAAATCAATTATACCATAAAACTAATGAAGTATAGACACAGTGAATTGATAAAACATAAAAATAAATAAACAAACATTTACATACAGGTTATGATACAACCTTTATTTTTACATCAGTGGAATTCACACATATCCTCTTACTTGTTTTATCTTTATATACGTTCCCTCTTGCTGCTCCACATTACCCTGGGTTTCCCCACAACAGGAAGGGCAAATGGTGAACAAGGACATCAGCTGGGCTTGGCACACAATGAACTTGTCAGCAGCACTGAAAAAAAAAAAAAACACTTGTTATTTCTGACCGACACAATTTGGTAATACAGTACACATCATCTAAAATTAAAAGAAGCCTTACTTGAGATCAACATTAGTTCGCTGCAGTGGCTCTTTTGATGGTTCCTCGTCAGACGACTCGCTCATCATTTCCTCCTCTGGGCTCCATGGCATATCCCCAGGGTGGTCCATGGTTACAGAAGATGACTCATCATCACTGTGTGCAGGACTGGGCAGTGGAGATTCTGTCTGACACCCCACACTGACCATCCTGGGCTGTACCTGGACAGCTAGGATAAAAAGATATATATTATATAATTGTGCCTGCCATAAACAACAGCCCTGCCATACAATCTACCTTTACAAAGCTTATGTTCAGGTTTTGTTGACATTTGGGCTGAGATGTTTTAATTCATTTATATGTTAATTATTGAGATCATAGCAAGTCTTGGAGTTGTAACAGCCTGCATCATACTGAGATGTTTTTCTAATATGTTTTTAACATGTACAAAAAATATGCAGTCTTTACCGCGTTTTGATGTAAAATGGGCGCGCTACTTCTGTGTTACATTTACCTGATGAACGATGGAAAGGTCTGAGGTTACACTGTGAGCCGCAGTGAAGCACAGATGTTGGCTGAGGAACCAGTTGAGAGACGACCTCTTGCTCTGGGTCTATAAGCCCAGCATCACTGGCTGTAGGTGAATCTTTAGTACTGTTGTCTACCAAAGTCTTGAAAACACACACATGAAACACGTGATTACACATGAAAATAAATAGCAACTGCGCCATTAGATATGCAAATAAAGTCCCCACGCCAATTCTAACTAACATTATCCATTATGACTTAGCAAGTGGGTTTAACAAGCTAGCAACATTAACTTACAACAATAAATACTAAACACACGTTGCTTGTCATTATTGAAATCATTATACTGAATAATTTGGAAGTTAGCAAACGTTAGAAAAACAATACTTACGTTGCACAGTTCACGTTTTCGTTTTGCTGAATCTCTGACCGACGCTCCCGCGCTCTCACTCCAGCCTGCTGCTGCTGCTGCTGCCGGAGCTGTGTGTATTGACGGAACCGCACTAGCTATCAGCCTCACACGGTCCTGGCTTCGATATCCCATACTGCACTCCATCACATCACTTGACTCATAATCCTCCGGTCGAAAATGAGCGCCACAAACGACCGCGTTTTTACGTCACAGACGCAGCATTGAAGTCCCGTCTCTTTGTCTGCAAAAAACGAACCCAGGACCGAAAGCTAGCTAGCTTTCTTTTCCTGTTAGGGAAACTGTGGACTCGATGTCCTGACAGGCTGGTATTTGTGCAACCTGCACAAACACAATACTGCACCATGATTACAAATGGTGAAATACAATGTAAAACTACCGAAGAATACCAGCTCCTTAAAACACAACCGCTCTACTCAACGCAACTCTACTATACCCGCGGTCAGAGAGCTGAGATGTGTCCCCTTTGTGATGTAATATGACGCGTTTGACATATGACCTTAAAAAAAAGCCATTTTTAAGAGCAGAGCTCAAAATTGCTCCTTTCCCTCTGAATTCCTGCCCTTATGTCTCGTAAAACATATCAAATCCTGCATTCACTTTTTTAATTGTAATTTTCAAGCAAGTTTAAGCATAAATGTAACCCCCCCCCCCCTGCAAGTTGCTCTTTAAATTGTATCCATATAGCTTTGTGATTTTAAGAGGGACTTATGCATGAAAATGGAATTTAGGAATAAATGTAACTATAAAGCAGGATTAAATATCATAATTTTCTCACCTGAACCAGGAGGTGCTTGGGTTTGGGTCCTCTTTTGCGATATCCCATCAGCTGCTCATGGCGTTCCCTGTGGGAGAGGAAAGCAGCCAATCAGTGAAACCATCACCGAGCTGTGTCGCCGTTGCATGGCAACAAAACGTCACAGGTGTCCTCCTCTGGCTCGAATACAAAAACACTGAGCCTGTGTTACAGGTTGGAGTTACACTTCCTGAAGCGAAACTCATTCAGCACGGGTTGACTTTGTTTTGTTGTTATGTCATAACCTTTTCACAACAATCTTTGTCTTTTATTTCAGATGAATGCAACAGCAGAAAGTCCCCAGTGTTTATATTGGTTCTCCTCCCCTCTAGAGCATGTGACGTTTGTATCTGCAGCTGAAGATAAAGGCCAGCCCTGCTCTGACTTCCCTAACTTTTCCTTCGTCTCTCCAAGGCAGTAACTCTATACCGCAGACAGGAGTGATGTCAGTCCCCTCCCCCACCCCCTCCCTCACATCTAATTACAATGACGACTCAGTGTATTTTCATAGCCTGGCATTCAGACGATTCGGCTCCCCGGAGAGAAACACAATTAGTTTCAATAAAATCTCCCCTCTTCAGACAGAGGGGGGGTAATTCCGAAAACAGACACAGAGTGACATCAGTGTTTGGCTTTAACGTGTGACCTGCGCCTGAAAGGTGAGGGGGGGTGGGGGGCGCAGAGTAAAGTCAGGGACAGTTTAGCACCCAATAAAGACATTCAATTAGACACTGTTCTTCAGTCACTCAACAGACTATTTTGCAATTAGCCAAGCAGCTAATTTCCATGCTTTGATCTCCTACACTAATAGAGAACATGAGGAAGTTCCTCTGGCCGGACACTGAGGCGGCGCGTACTTCTATGATGATTTATAACAAGACTAAGCTGCTATTTAGTTCCTGCTGCTCATTTCAATCTTCATTTCCTCGTGCCTTTCCACCACATCATTAGCAGATTAGGAAAAGATTGAAAGTCCCCATCCATTTAGAAAACATTATTTCCTGATAGCTGCTTGACTTGGATGCTGGGCCTTCAGTGTGTAGAATGATATGTGAGCAGAGTTTGACATTAGAAGGCTGTTTCCACTTTAATCTGCTGAAGGGAGAACCTTAAATCTGAGGACAGACGAGCAGAGTCATACTTTTAGTCAACTAAGATTTAACTAGTGGTTAATTATTCTTTTAGGAGAAACTCAGTTTACCAGATCCATGGATTAAATTAACTAATTTATGAGACGACAAAATCGTAGGTTTTCAAACTATCCCTTTTACAGTAAGGACATCACATATGGTTAAGAAGCTAATTATGCTACCTACACAAGTGTGATGTAGAAACTGGAAACCTCCAGCACCAACTGAGAATGGACACAGTGTAGTAGGGAGGGACACATACTGTGTCTCATAGTAACTTTTGAAAATAACAACATATAGTTACTGGATTGTTTCAATGAGGGAGAAGAAGTTGTTTCCGATTAGACAAAATTGACTTAACTAAGGAAAACATCAGACATACATTATTATTAAAATGTAGTTTTTTATGTCTCTGTAAAAATGTAGAGTCTAAAGGCATAATGTTGTTCATAAAATAGCCAGTTAGCAATTAGCCAAACAGAGCTGTTGTTTTTCTGAGTTCATCATACTGCATATTTGGTATTAATTGCCATATTGGGTAATGTTATGGGTTACCATGTCCTGTGGAAGATGACACAGGTGCATCTGGTGAGTGGGTGGTGGGACAGCAGGCAGCACGATAACCTGATGCTGCTGACACGCAGTGACTATCAGGTGACAGAACGTCGGAGCACCCAAGTGTCACACTTTGCTCTGGTAACCCTGACCGGAGCTTTACCCTACAGCCTGACCCCCTGATGACACCAGTGTTAATCCTAATCCAAGCCCCCAGCCGCTGAATCTCTGCACACTGACTGACACTTATGAAGCTAAAGGGCTGCAGCCTACAACTGCTTTTATGAACATTTTTGGATTATCCATGAATTGTTTGGTCTATAAAATGGCAGACCATGAAGATAATGTCAATCCCATTTCTCAAAGTTCAAGATGATTTCTTTAAATTGCTATTTTTTTCAATCTAAAACCACAAGACATTACTTTGACATATTTAATAGAGAATCACTTACATTCGCATTTATTTGAAGCTGAAAGGAGCATTTTCTGAAATGTTGGTGCAAAAGTGACTTTAACCAATTCATTATCAACATTGTTTGTGATTTGTTGTCTACCTAATCGTTGCAGCTCTACTAAAACGAGTTATTATCAATATTATTCAGATGGAGTAACTAGGAAGCAACGTTTGAGATAACAAACACACAGTTTCAACATGAGGAACACATATTTTATCTGTTGGGTATAGAACTGGAAATGTAAGGGTGTGCCTTTAACCCTGTTTGTGATGATGACATTGTGAACCTCCTGTGAGGGTGCTTATCTGACTCTAAACGTACCTGTCTTGGAAAGCATCAAGCAGCCTTGGGTCCAGGATGTTTTCTTCTGGTTCCCACGTGTTGTATCTATTCAGAGAGCAGACAGTTAGGACACGCTGGCCTGTCACACAAAAACAGATCTTTGGCTGAAGATAGAAAATCAATCAACGACCTTTAACTTATAAATCCTCAGTTCATATTTGTAGGCATGTACATGCGTAAACAACACTCTGAGACACGTGCACTCCCTGTGGATGAACGTGTAATAAATCATAAGTAACTTTTACGCGCGGCTGTAGGGAGGGGGGACAACGGCCAAGCCCCCACTCAACTGTAAATATGTGGGAATTTCTTAAACATAGGGTTCAATTACAGACATGTCTTCCTTTAATTGGCACACTGGGGATTGAATACATTGTAAAGACACATCCATCATCAGAGCCAACACATCGAGCGCCCAAAGCAAGAACGCGCAGCCGTCCATATGCGCGCCCACGGATGCAATAACACTTGTGCTGTAAATGTTGTGTTATCATTGGGAGTATTGTAATGGTTATAAAAACGACTTACTTTGGAGACCATCCTCGCCACTTGACCAGGTACTCAAATCTCCCCTGTGAATGGAGAGAAACGCAACGTTACTTTACGCAGCAAAATGCACTCTGCACAGCAACGTCTCCTTCAAAAAGCTAATGAAAAAAATGTAGTCCGTATAAAGATGAAAGAAAAATAATAATAATTATCCTCCTTTCCATGTGCATGTTTGCAAATATGTCCTTCAGCTCTCGTGACAAACCTTTCTGCTGCGCTTCTTCTCGATGCTCTCCACCGCAAAGACGTGCTCTCCAGCGGCGGGTAGCTCCATTTTCCGACACAAGAGTAGCTCCCGTGTATTCCCTCTGCTTTTGCTATCCGACACGTTATCCTCGCTTTCGGGCCGTTTTTCCGTGCTGCTCCTCTGATGTGAAACACAAGAACCCCCCGCCTCCTCCTTATTTTCACTGCGCCTCTTCCCTCGCTTTCCCCTCGGAGAGACTCGCTTTGCAGGAGGTGACTTGAAGCTGCAGCTAGAAAACACCTCATGCATGCAAATAGCCGTTGGTGTGACGTAAACAAGGGGGCGGTAATAGGGGCGGGGTTAGTTGCCGTGCCGCTTTCAGGGGCTGTTGGGGAAAGTGTAATCACGATTTCGGTTGCATTTTGAACAATATGTACAATTGTAGAATTACTGATTTTTCTATAAAAACACTAAGATGAGGGGTATGGAAACCATGGAAACAACTGGATTTAACCTACCAGAATGAATTGCAGATCATTTCAGCTTAGTAGACTAAGACATGGTCCCATTCTATGTAGGCTATATTAACTCCTTATTTGGCTGTTAGTCAGAATCTGCATGATTGAGACATTCATGTTGACCTGAAGGTTAACAGGGCATAGGCTTACATTAAAGTACTCTGCATACTATGGTGTCGTAGCCTAGCACTTGTCTAGCAAAAATAACACAAGAAAACAAAATAGTTACAGGCTATATTTCCTCTATCACAGGTTTTAGACTTGTAACATAAAATCATATAAAGATTTTTGCAACGGCTGATTTAACTTGGGGTTCCCTCTTCGCCTGAGAAATTGTGTGAATGTGTGAAGGGAATAAAAGGTGTGTATGTATAAACATATACTTCTTGGCACAGGAATCCGCACACAGACATTAATCCTACATAATTGTATTTCGAATGTTCAATCAAGGCAAACAGAAATGCCAAAAATGAACTTGGTTCTCGTAAGTACGAGCTGAGATGAGATCGTGAACGCCACATGTCTGCCTCTTGTGAGGCTGGATGTAAATCGAGGTCTAGCTCCAAGAGGGAGCTCTGAAAGAAAACAGCGTTCCGTCCTGAACCGTGCCGGTCTCCATGTGCTGCCCCTCTCAATGTACAGCTTGTTAAGGCCTTCTGCTTTTTATATTTATATTCTCTGCCCAGTATGGGCTCGTTTGGGATAGGCAGGTTACAACCTGTGAGCATTCTATAACTAAACATGTAGGCCTATTTATGAGCCGGGCCCGTGATATAGTTGGGTTCGTTTGATAGTGAGAAAATCAATACCACAAACGAGTTGTTCCGCATGGAAACACAGAATAGGCCACACCAAGGTCAAGGCCACAGCATACACAGCGCCGCCATAACAAGGGCTCCTCTAACACTGGATTCCTTGTGTCACAGGGAAACACGCATTCCCATCAGAAGCTGCTGTAGTGTGCCCCCCCCCCCCTCTATAGGAAGATAATGCACTGTGAATCATTGCAAGTGTAAAGTCAAATTGCGGGCCGCTGTGATGTGCATTACAATGAACAGGGCTCTGAGTCAAGGTCACACAAAGAGAGGACATTTCAGAGGGCCCCGTGTCGCGGGGATTTTCTGTGGGATGTTAGCAAAGTTAAACGAGAGCCCCTGGTTGTGTGGCAGGCAGTCGATGTAGGTCAGCATCCCCTACCCGCCGGCTCACACTCCAGCGGGTTAATGTGAGCGCTGAGCCCCGAGCTAACGTAAACCTGCCGTCTCTCTCTGTGGCACGGAGAGGGCTGGGGCAGACATGACTCACGGTGTGAAGCAGCTTAGGCCTGGCGGTGAAGGGACAGACAGACTTCTGGAAATAAGGCTCCACATCAAGGGGCAGAGTAGGGTTATACGTAGACTGGGTTATGCCTAAATAAAGTGAAGGTATAGCTCGACAAAGACAGGGTTACAACCATCTCATAGCCATTCCAGTTTCTTACGGCTATTGGCTGATATATTTATGTATTTATATCTATTCATGATAGGCCTACTTATATCAAGGCCTACTGCAAGGATTCAGTTTCGATGCATTGGTTTAAAAAAAAAAAAAACATATTTAAATCCCTCCTTACATTGTTTCATAGGCTTGGAGCTAATACAATTCAGCAGTGAAAGGGTTAAGGAGCAGAGTTCCCGCAGGCTCCGCGCTCGGCCTATTGCAGAAAGGCACGACGGTCTTTCCTTATAAGGCAATGAGTGCAAACCGGCGATGAAATATCGCATTAATAAACGAGCTTAACACATTCTCGCTCCAATGTTTGCTTCAAGTAGACTCTGTTAAGCACAACGACTGTCAAAACCTCAATTTCTTCTTATTCGCTGGTTCCGCTATGCGGCACTGCGGGGCTCGCGCGAAGCAGCTTCGTCGCGCGCACAAGGGCACGAGTCTGCTAATTTAGCGTCATTATTACTAAATTAGAGACGAGCCAAGGAAACACAGAGTTCAATTAGAGCTGAGGAGGTTTGTGAAAGGTATAACTCTCTAAAAACTGAAAGAGCTTTGATGAGACAGCCCTCCACCTGTCTGCCCCTCCACCCGCCCAGCATGACGGTGTCACTAACATATTGATCAGAGGCTCATCAGAATATAATCAGTGGAACATGATGCTAAAGGTTGATACACACAGCGCTCATTTTGTCTAAATGTAAGAGCTTCAATTCTAATAAGGAGATTATCGAAAATCAGCACAGAATCACAGCTCCGCCGGTTTTCCTGCAGTCACTTAATGATATTTAGATGCACCATAAGGCATCATTTATAGAAATTATTAAAAAACGGAAGCAAGCAGAAAAATCGTGACGCAAGAGGCGAAAAAACAGGTGTGGTGACTTTTGAGTAACGGATTCCGGGTTAAAACAGCACACCTCTGATGTCCTTAGGTCGTCTTCAATAAAAATAGAAGCTTAGATGTGCTGCCTATTTCTCAGAATAAATATGACTATCCCTGTGTGACGAGGTTTTCTAATCTATGGAGATGAACATTATATTTCACAAGTAACAGCTCCATATGCAGGACTGATTTAACTAATGCAAAGTTATTGCTTAACATGATCAGTTCCTTTCAATAAAAACACAGGACAGAAAAAGCAGCGCAGAACATTTGACTGTAACCACTTTTACATTAGATTATATATCCTGGCATGAAAGTTGTATTACACATTTAGGTAAGGATGTACAACAAATAATCATTATGTTTATCATTATTCAGTTAATTATTTTTTCTCCTTCATTGGTTAGTTTTGAATATGTGATCTTTACTCCACCTGCACCTTTTACAAGTGAGATAAGACAGTGAGTTTCCCCTGTGACTCATCGAAAGCACATGATTGTTAGTCTTCATGTCATTAAGAGAGAGGCGTAAAAGGAAAATGTGATCATTTAAAAAAAGGAGAAATTAGTTTACTCTAAATTAATAATTGTAATTTTCTTTACATTAAATATATATATATATATATATATTAGAGGATGATTCAGTACCTCACATACAGTCTGAGGAACTGGAAATCATCAAGAGTGTTAGTGAAGGGTTATTGAAGTGGGGTTTTGCACACAGGGAAAGGGCAGCAGGTGAAGTGAGAATTGATGTTTACGGACAACTAGACTGAGATCCATGGACCCTGATGACGCCACGACTCTAAGTGAGGGCATCTGATCGATGACATTTCCACGTAGGAAAATGTGACGCTCAGTCTGCGTCACAGCGCAGGATTACAGATCAGATGATAGCAGAGGAAAAACAGGAGGATGGAAGGGAGAAGTGTTAACGAGAAAGAAATGAGATTCATTGCAGCACATATTTTCTCATAAGAAGGCAGAATTATAGATTTATAGTTCCAAATCATTTTTGTTTTTCAGCTCAGCAGACATAATTTAGGAGGAGACTCACTAAAATACTTCTGTGTATTATGATTAATAAAGAACTGAATTTACTTACATAATCCTAAATGTTAGGATGACTACCTGCTGTAAAAGAAAGGATAATCAACATTCAAACCATCCAGTCGTCCACATTTACAGAGTCAACCATAAGCTGAAAGACAGTATACTCCTCTATGGCTTTGGAGAATGTGACTTGCCATGTTTGCTTTAATACCTTTACAACACTCAAAATGCCTGTTGTTTAACTTCGGAACAGAACCTGTAAATGACGGTTTAAATCAATTGAGTAAAATGGGTGTATCACGTTAAGTATTTAAACAGTGCAAAGGTTGCAGCTGCCATTTCACTGTTCATTTTATTTTCTGCTTCTGGGAATTCAGCTTTATTCCACAATGACAAATCAAGTGAGTCATCTCTGCACAGCAGGCAGGTTCGAATGCACCTTTAACAGCAGCCTGCACTCCTGAGGGAGTTTATTGGTGCTGCAGAGGGAGAACAAACAATGGGTTTGGAAGCTGCAGAGAAATTATGTTAAAGTCAAGTCACACACTTTGCAATCATGTTTTTTGACAGAGCACCTATCAATAAGGAGACTTACCATTTGATGTGAAACGTAAGCTTGTGAAATAATGAATGGCAAAATAAACTACTGTAGTGACTGAAATAAAACAAGTCTGCATGCCAGGAGAAAATGGATTGCTTCAAAGTAGACACATGGTGTGTTGAAACTGACATGATGTATTTCAAGCAGCAGTGGCATGTTAAATGAACGCACCCCTCTAACATGTCACTTCTTCAGGGGTTTTATCTTTGAGGAAACCACAAATGGAAAATGTTATCTCTGGAGCTGCCTCTAAAGAATCGTATTTCCCATCGTGTGACAACATGTTGAGGATCTTTGGGATCCATGAAGTCACACTCATTACCTGCTCCTTTGAGAATGAGTCAAAAGGCTTTTCAGATTCACACAATAAATCAGCGGCATGCAATTAGCGATTCAAGGCGCAATCCTGATATTGAAAGTTATTTTGATCTGGAGTGACGTTGAAGTTAAAAGGTGCACGTGACTCATAGGTGAAATGAGACTCATGAGGGGTTTTTGCTTGCGTTTTTCTAAAGAGTCCTCCTACAATCACGCCAGCGCGCTCCTGCTCACGACACAAGCTGTTTGCGTCTCCTGCACATCAGAGGAAGATATTCCCAGGCACCACAGTGCCTCTGACTCCAATGAAGACGTGTAATTGATGATGTGTGTTTGTGTGTGCCAACGTCAGAGGCAGGTAGCTGTCATGACTGTTGGAGCAGTGGCCGCTGTTCTTGGTGACTCATAGCAGAAAAGTACATAAAGGATCCTGC